GCACTGGCTCAATCAATACCCATTCTTCTTATTCTTTTTCCCTTAATGATCATTATTTACTATTATTATTATTATTGATTTTCCCTCTTCAATACTTCCATCCTCCAGTTGTACCCTCTTTGTTCTTGTCGTCGTCGTCATCCCCTTCACCACATTGTCAACTTTCCACTCTGATATCCTGCCGCATTCTACAAAGTTGATTGATTGGGATCGCTTCTTATTATTTTTATTTTTTTCTATTCACCGCACTTCTTCTCTCCCTTATTACTTTTTTTTCCTCTTTCTTGATCACCCTCTCTCCCTTCTTAATTCACTGTCATTCCGATCCCTCCCCCCTGTTGGTTAGTAGGTTGCCCTGATTGATTTTCCTCTGCATCCGACCGGCATCTTTCCTCCTCCTGCCTGCCTCCCTCCCCTCTGTCTCCAGTCTCTCTCTTTCCACACTCTCTCCATCAATCATTAAATTAATCCTCTCCATCCTTGCCTTGCGCCTCTTTCCTTCTTCGGCAGTGGGAAATCTCCTTCTCCATACCACACAACCCATCCATCTCTCTTTAATTTCCTCTTCAACTCCTCCGTCCCTCTCCGATTCGGAATTATTCCCACCGCCTATCTTTTGCTTCTCTCCAAGTTAACCCTTATAACCGCCGGGCAGTATCTGAGACGCCTCCTGTTGATCGCATCCATCGCGCTCCGCTACACGTTAATCCTCCATTCCGATCGCCCTTTACTTTTTCTCCATCCTATTTTTACTCCTTCTCTTACGCGACTAGCGGCGTCCACGTCTCGAGGTTGCCAACACCGTTAAACTCACCAACCGTGCACAGAGCTCGCTCCGATCGCTCATTCGCCTCTACAGCTACAGCCTTTCCACACATCCGATAAAGGGGTCTTGGAACACCTGCGTTGCGTCGCTGCACTCGCTTGTCTTGTTTTGAATGATTAGTGGTTTCTAAATCTGCGACCACAGCTCGAATTGTCATAATCGCGATATTGAAGGTGTCGAGTATCGGTGTGGTTGATTGTTCGCCCGCATATATCGCGCCTGAACATTCAATCGTGTGCTGCTCGATCCCAGCACGCCTCTATACACTCCTTTCTTGCACATAATGTCCGTTGCTACGATGCTACAACCCGCTTCGAGAGCCTCGACTTCATCGTCTTCTTCCTTTCAACCCGTCACACGCCAAAACACCATGTCTTCCCACGATACGCGGTCCCTCCGCCAGTCGAAGCGGCTGTCAGTCACTGCGCTGTACATGTCCATGAATGCTAAGGACAGGGATTTGGATATTTCAGACGATCTGGCGAGAGGTTAGTCACTGGATTTGGGTGGGATTTATTTGAATTTGGACACGCTTGCTGACTTTTTATGCGACAGCTCAAATATATCTGCGCGAACTGAAGGCGAAGATTTCAACGCAATCGAAGAAGAACTTCGTCCTGGAAAAAGATGTGCGGTATTTGGATTCACGGATTGCCCTGCTGATCCAAAACCGTATGGCTCTGGAAGAAGTAAGAATTGTTCCATCTGTCTTGCATGGGTAGTTCCTGACAGTACCAGCAAAACGAAGTTGCCAGCCACCTCGACGATGCTATAGATCCCCAGGAGGGATTCTTTCCTAACGATGAGCGAACACAGAAGTACGGCAATCTTCTCTTCCTTCTCCAGTCCGAACCCCGTCACATCGCCCACCTGTGCCGCCTAGTCTCCATGTCCGAGATCGACTCCCTCCTGCAAACCGTGATGTTTACTATTTACGGAAATCAGTATGAGAGTCGTGAAGAACATCTGCTACTTACCATGTTTCAGTCTGTCCTCACCTATCAGTTCGATAACACTCCAGAGTACTCGTCACTCTTGCGCCAGAACACCCCTGTTTCCCGCATGATGACCACCTACACCCGGCGCGGTCCTGGTCAGAGTTACCTGAAACAAGTCCTTGCCAACCAGATCAATGCCCTGATCGAGCTGCGCGACGTCGACTTGGAGATTAACCCCCTCAAAGTGTATGAAACCATGGTGAAACAGATCGAAGAGGAGCAGGGCTCGTTGCCAGAAAGTCTTCAGAGATCTGTTACGGCGGAAGACGCAGCGGCAAATGCGCAGGTGCAGGCCATTATTGAACCGCGATTGAAGATGCTCACCGACTATGCCAACCGATTTTTGAACATAATCATCGAGTCCGTGGAAGAGACACCATACGGCATTCGGTGGATATGCAAGCAGATCAGAAGTTTGTCCCGACGCAAGTACCCGGACGCTCAAGATCAGACCATCTGTACCCTGATCGGAGGATTCTTCTTCCTTCGCTTCATCAATCCCGCTATTGTCACGCCTCGATCGTATATGTTGATTGAATCGACGCCCACGGAGAAACCCCGCCGGACGTTGACCCTTATCGCGAAGATGCTTCAGAATTTGGCCAACAAACCTTCGTACGCCAAGGAGCCGTACATGGCGAAACTTCAGCCTTTCATCCAGCAGAACAAGGAACGTGTGAACAAGTTCATGCTCGATCTGTGTGATGTGCAGGATTTTTATGAGAGCTTAGAGATGGACAACTACGTCGCGCTCTCGAAGCGAGACCTCGAGTTGCAGATTACCCTGAACGAGATGTACGCCACACACGCCCTGCTGGAGAAGCACAGCTTGGCTTTGGCCCAGGACCAGCACTCCCATCTCAATGAAATCCTGCAGGAGCTTGGTTCTGCGCCACCACAGGTCCCCCGGAAGGAAAACAGGACCATCACCGTGCCATTGTTTAGCCGCTGGGAGACGTCTCTTGATGATTTGACCGCGGCCTTGGATATCACCCAAGAAGAAGTCTTCTTTATGGAGGCCAAATCCACCTTCGTCCAGATTTTGCGGTCTCTCCCTCAAAAGCACCCCGCAACGCGTCGTCCGCTACGGCTATATCTCATTGCGGAGAGTGCTGCAACCCTCAAGAACGATGCGGTGATGGTCCGGAAAGGAATCCGCACTATAGAACTGCTCGATCAATTGATGAAGTTGGGCGTCATCGAACGTGCCGATGACTTCAGTCTCCTGCGTGATGAGGTTGAACAGGAACTAGCGTACCTGGGCGGCTTGAAGGAGAATGTCTTGAAGGAGACGAAGAAACTGGAAGAAGTCTTTGCCACCATACGCGACCACAATGCATACTTGGTGGGTCAGCTGGAAACGTACAAGTCGTATCTTCACAACGTCCGCAGTCAGTCCGAGGGCAAGCAGCGGAAACAGCAAAAGCACCAGGAGCTCGGACCGTACAAGTTTACACACCAGCAGCTCGAAAAGGAAGGTGTCATTCGCAAGAGTAACGTTCCAGAGAACCGACGAGCCAACATCTACTTTATGTTTAAGAGTCCTTTGCCAGGCACGTTTGTCATCAGCCTGCATTACAAAGGTAAGCCGTGATCTTCACCTTTTTCCTTCCCATGTTATCTAACCAACTATGTCAGGCCGTGCTCGTGGTCTTCTGGAGCTGGATCTCAAGCTCGATGATCTGCTCGAGATGCAAAAGGACAACCAGGAGGACTTGGATCTGGAGTACGTCCAATTCAATGTCTCGAAGGTGCTTCTACTTTTGAACAAACGATTTGCACGAAAGAAAGGGTGGTAGAGAGACGGCACCTATGGCCTCTCTTTTACATTCTATCACGACGTCTATGAAACGGAGCGGATAGTCACCGGGCAAGCCTCAAGACAGGCCAGCCTTTGGTCTTGGCTACTATGCCGCCAATTTGATGAACTACAATTGGCCTTGGCAATACGCTAACATGTCCCGAAAGCCGTGGCCGTGTTATCTGTTTGGATCGTCTATTCTACGTTATGACCTGGGGACGGACGATTGATTTGTACACTTTACCATGCGGCTTCCCACCCAGACGTGGTGCGGGTCGACCATGGATGCATAAGACGAGTTGCGTTTTTTTTGTTTTCGTTTTGCCGATTTTGTTAAGAAAGGGCTCCTATGCGGGGCAGTAATGTGGTGGGGCGACCAGCTCTGTTAATCCCAAGCATGTGGTCCTGGACTCTCCCCTCGCTGGCTCGGGGGTAAGTGGTCATGAGCAGGGGGTTTTCTGAGCCGTGTTGCTTTTCGTTTTGTCCTTGCGACGGCTATACCCCGTTGAATGATCTTGCGCTTGAGTGTTTCTTAATTGGGTCATTGCGGTTTGATGAGATTGGTGCGCTGTGTTGCTTCAATTCAGCGGCTCTGGTAAGACCGGCCGTCATGTTACCCTGTGTTTATATGTACCAGTATGCCTTGGATTTAGCGTTGTGAATTCCCCGGAATCATATATTATATGGCTTTTAATGAGGATGATGCTCAGAGGTGTGTAGGCCACGAGCAGTCTGCAACACCGGACATTGTGTAGAATTATGAGATTCTTTCGACTGTAATATGATCGACCTGAGCTGTTCAAATCGGTCGATGTAAATAACTGATCGTCGGGGGTATTTGGCCAGCAATTTCCGCCGAGTGATATTCGGCCAAGTTGCCCAGACACCCACCAGCATTGGTCCGGTTTAGACACCTACTACGTCACTGCCGCCGTGGCGCAGAATGGCAACGGCGCGACCGCCCTGAAACGAAAGGGCGCATTGGCGAAGAAGAGGCTTAGGTGGTCGCCAACCAGGGGTTGTGAGGGGTCTCAGTGAGAATGATGATCATGAAGCAGGATGTGTCCTAATCAACAAGAAAATTGGATCGATAATGAAACAGGTGCAGCCACGCATGACGCCTCAAGAGTACACCGTAAAGAAGAAGAAGAAGAAGAAGAAGAAGGGGGGAATCGAAGGTTGACCGCTTTGAGCGCCACCCCTCGGTTTTTCAGGCACGCAATTCAGGCCGACTGCTGCCACTTGACAGGCCAGACAAGTAGGCAGTGAGTAGTAAGTTAGTAGTGAGTGGTCAACTCCAGCAGTAGTAGGAAAGTTGCAGTGAGTTCGACTTGGTTTGGATTCCCGTCTGAGTTTGGCTGTTTCCGTCCGCCGTCTCATTTCTTTCTCGCCTTCTGGCTTTTTTTTTTTTGCCTCTTCTCTCTCCGCCTCTAGGTTAATTTCCAGTTTAGTTGTTCAATATTCTAGGCAGTTGTTCCTCCGCCTCTTCTCCTTCCCCTTAACCGCTGCTATCTGCGACATCCCGCTTAATTGTCCCTCCCCACTCCCCTCTCTCTCCTCCTCTCTCTTCCCCCCCCTGCACCGCCCGACTTGATTTCTCCTCTTGCCTTCTCCTCCCTTTTGACCATCAACTCATCCCGCCTTCGGGTCTATAACTTTCTCTTAACTCTCCCCTCCTCTTCCTTTCCCCCAAACCCTCTTCATCCACCATCACCTTCACAATGGCGGCTCCGTCCAAGTACGATGACTATGACTTCCCGACCACTGCGCCGGAAGACCAACCCGGTCACCCTGGCCACACCACCCCCGAGCAGGATGCGAAGGTAGAGCAGCTCCGGGCCGAGCTGGAACAGCTTGGCTACACCGAGAGGCTGGATACTCTGACGCTGTTGCGTTTCCTGAGAGCCCGAAAGTTTGATGTCGCTGCTGCCAAGACCATGTACGTTTTTGCTCCCTGATTATGATGTGACGACTAGCGTCTGTTGCTGGAGCCCTACGCGTAAGCGGGGGCTACTGGGAAGATGGTGTCGAAAGTCTCTGTTTTCCATTTTTCTCTCCCTGTTTCACGGAGACTTTGTTACGAGATGCCATGCACAGTGATCATGGAAACCTGAAACTTTCGAAGCGCGCGCTAACATCCACTTCTGGAAATAAAGGTTCGTCGACTGCGAGAAGTGGCGGAAGGAGTTCGGCACTGATGAGCTCGTCCGTACTTTCGAGTACCCCGAGAAGGCCAAGGTCTTCGAATACTACCCCCAGTACTACCACAAAACGGACAAGGTGCGTGACTTGAACAGACCGCTTTTTCTCCACCGCTAGACTGGTCGAGACGCTAACGACCGGAACCCCGAATAGGATGGCCGTCCTGTCTACATCGAGAAGTTGGGCAAGATTGACCTCAATGCCATGTACAAGATCACCACCGGCGAGCGCATGCTCCAGAACCTCGTGACCGAGTATGAGAAGCTTGCCGACCCCCGTCTGCCCGCCTGCTCCCGCAAGGCCGGTAAGCTGCTCGAGACTTGCTGCACCATCATGGACCTGAAGGGCGTCGGTATCACCAGCGTCCCCTCCGTCTACGGCTACGTCAAGCAGGCGTCTGCCATCTCCCAGAACTACTACCCCGAGCGTCTGGGCAAGCTTTACCTGATCAACGCCCCCTGGGGCTTCAGCAGCGTGTTCAGCGTGGTCAAGGGCTTCCTTGACCCGGTGACCGTGAACAAGATCCACGTTCTCGGCTCCAACTACAAGAAGGAGCTGCTGGCTCAGGTTCCCGCTGAGAACCTCCCTGTTGAGTTCGGCGGTACCTGCCAGTGTGCCGGAGGCTGCGAGCTTAGCGACATGGGCCCGTGGCAGGAGTCTGAGTGGGCCAAGACCCCCAAGTGGGCTGCCCCGAAGGAGGAGGCTGCTGCTGCTGAGGCTTCTACTGAGGCTGCTGCCGAGAAGGAGGCTGAGGCTCAGGCCACCGCATAGAGGCTTTTGTGTCATCCACCGGTTTTGTTTCTTTTTCGTTCTACATCTTGGATCAATATGGTAAAAGCTTCAGGCACTATCTTGCCGATCTATATCCCTTCTTTTGTTTCTAGAACTGTTTTGCTAGGGAGAGGCACTCCGCGGGTGCCTGTCCACTTTTCTTTTATGTTTCAAGATACGTGCTGGAAGGGTTGTTGAGAGTTGTTCTCGGGGATTCCGCGGTCCTATTATTATATGTTTTGCTTTTGGTCGTGCTTGTTTTCCTTTCGCAGTCAGATATCAAACACCATATGAGCGGCGCGAGGTGCTTTTTATAGATTGGAGCCGGGGCAGGCAGTCAGTAATAGGGGACAGAGGATAAAAGTGTTACGTGGTCAGGATGCTCTAGGTAGAACCAGGGTATACACTCATATAGCGTTAAAGTGAACGTTGCAGAGCGTGTCCATCAGATCTTTCATTATTGTAAACACATTGTAAACCGAATTGGTATCATCCCAAGACCCCTGCAAACGCCAACCCAAACCCATAGCAGAGGAAATAAAGAACGCAGTGATAAGCAGACATGCCTAAACAAACACTCATTTCTTCTTCTCTCCCTTCTTCTCCACCACCTCGACAGCCCGCCCAGCCCTCTCGGCCTTCCCCAGCGTCGAAGAAAGCGCATTCCCATCCGTCCCATCACCACTCGTGTCCACAGATACCCCTTCACCCTGAAGCCGCAACAACGTCCGCAACGCATCCTCATACACCTCCGCCATTTCCCCGCTCCGCCACCTCTCCGCCTCATTCTCCGTCCCTAACGAAACCTCCAACTTCGCCCGTGACCTCGTCATCGGCCCCTTCCTCTGAGTCTGAGTCGTTGTCGCCGTTGTGCCCGTGGTCCCCGCATCAGCCATCTCCGTATCCTGTCCCGCACTCTGCTCTTCTTCTTCCTCCTCCTCCTTCATCTCCTCCCCATCCAAATCTTCTAATTTCTCCTCCTCCTCATCCTCCCTCAACGCCCTCCTCAACTGCTCCGCATACGCCTTCGCCGCCCGGCCCGGCGCATCCCGTCTCAACTGCGCCACCGTCGTCGTCAACGACTCCAATTGCGCATACAGCGATGTGACCCGCGATGCTAGTTTCCCGTCGTACGCTTCGTATTCCACTTGTTCTGTGGGGGCTGTGAAGGCTGCTGGGAAGGGCCATTCGGGCGACGTGGAGTCGAGCCCATTGATGCTAATGGAGGGGGAGGCGGAGTTGAAGGTGCGGTTTATATACTGGGTAGATACAAATGTCGTCGTTAGACAGTTGTGGGATTTATATGTAATACAGATCTGGGAAGGGTCTTACCTCATCGACTAATTCTCGTACGCGCTCGCGCATGGGATCCGGTCCATCGTTGGGGTTCGCGGACGGAGGCAGGTGGAGGTCGAGTTTTGCTCGTGAGAGCGCGACGGTGTTGGCGTATAGGTAGGTGAAGTCTGCTGGGGATTGGAGTTCGATTTTGCGGTGGTGGTCGGTGGACATCTTTTTATTTTCTTTTATTCCTCTTTATCTTATTCTAATTGTGATTTGGGGTGTTGGTTGTGGTGCTGGCGGGGAGGAATAGTGGGTGAGGAGGGAGGGGAATCACGCGTCGTAGAGTTATGTTTGATGATTGTTTGATGCGGAGATACTAACTTTACGATAGCAACTATCCTTTCTCAATGCCTGAGGCAACAAGGGACACAGCGAGTGAAGTGTCTGCCTCAGGCAACTAACAGCGTCGATCGCCCCGCAAACGATGTCATCATTGATCGAAATCGGGAAGGTGAAGTTCCCATTCCCATGCCTTGCTTTACGAACGAACTACTACTTTTTCTTTCCTATCATCATCTTCTCCCAACCAGGCAGGTTCCGGTGGGTTGTTTTTGTCGCACCATTTCCAATGGGCTAGGCTATAATCTTAATTTGAGAGAAATTCTTGTTGCTTTATATAGTAGCCTCTGCTCGTGCAGGCTCCCAAGAATTTCCCTTATTACTTATTCTAATTGGAGAAAAAGGTCCCCTTTTAATCTCCAACTAGTCACTTACTTAGTTGTTTGTCTTGTCTCACATACAACACTTATTCATTTACTTCTATCCCTGCGGAATGATGGCCTTATTATCGCTGCGATGATCGGATCCCCTTTTCTACTTTATTTATAATTTATAATTACTTTAAGATCGGTCTCGGCTTCTGATACAGCGGATGGTAAGGAGGACAGGCAGGCACCTACAATGGACATCGACCACTCCAATACAACTACCAGCTCCATCGCCCTCATCGATAACACTGCGCCCCGTCGCCGCCATTCGGAAACTCCCACCGCTACAACAAACGGCGGCAGCTACATCTCCCGAAAATGGACGAAAAGGTCAATCCGCGGCGAGCTGAAAAAGCGCAAGTACGCTAAATGGCAACCGGATCGATTGGGGCTCACGACCGATGATGAAGACAACAACTACAGCTGCAATAACAATGAAGAGGAGGAAAACATACCATCATCCAGCAGACGACCCTCCGAAAGACCAGAACCGTCAGACCTCTTTACTACAGAAACAGCAACCACCACGAGCCCTCCCCCCTCGCAATACCAAAGTCGAAGTGACAGTCCCAGCCAACAACAAGAACAACAACAACCCTTCCCCCCTTCGCAGGATGTAAGCGCCACGGATTTCGCCCCAGAAAGCAACACCCTCTTCACCACCCACACCACCACTACAACTACAGGGGCTAACGCCCCCAAACTTACCGGCCTAAAACCCAACACCGAGCTCGACATCCTCTACGAAAACCAACGCGGGTGGTTCTTCTTCGGCATCCCGCTCTACTCACATAGCTCCCTACTCAACTTCGACCCCTCCGCCTGGCAGACCGCCGATCTGCGCGACAGTCCCGTGGACATCACGAACGCGCAAGTGCCTGATCCCAGCTGGGTGTGGGCGTGGCGGTCCTGGTACGTCGATATGTCCGGCGACGTGGATGACCAGGGATGGCAGTATTCGTTCTCGTTCAAGTCGACGGCGTGGCATGGGTCGCATCCATGGTTCCATTCGTTTGTGCGCCGGCGCAGATGGGTGCGGGTGAGGACGAAACGGTTGGTGGATAGACATGGACGGACGGAGTTGGAGATGGCGCATAGGTTGAATGAGGATTATTTCACGATTCACTCGGGGAAGAAGAAGAAGAGGCCGGTTAGTGAGGTCGGTGGGGGTGGGTATGGGGCTACGAGTTTGGGTCGGACCACGACTGCGACGACTTCAAGAGAGATGGAGGAGGAAGGGGCACCGATAGAGGAAATAGCGAATATCCCGGCGTTGATGCACGCGTTGCGAGTAGCGATTGTGGATCGCGAAAAGGTGGATGCGTTGGATCGGTTCGTCGACGAGGGCGGGGAGGAGTTGTTTTATTTGGATGAGAAGGTAGTCCCCCCCAATACCATTACCCGTTTCCTGCAGAATATCCCTTCCAGATGGAGCAATATGCTAATTGTGATATCTCATGAATATCCAGATCCCCGAAATCATGTCCATGTTCGTCTTCCAAGCCTCCCGCTGGCACTTCGTCCTCCACCTCACCGACGTCGTCGAGTCCCTCTCCCAACAACTCTCCTCATCCAGCGGGGACAACGAAGCCACCGAGCTGCAGCGCAAGCTAAATCATCTCCGAAAGGCCACCGAAACAGCTAGACGCCATCTCACGGGCCCGGGTGTCCTGCGCACCGAGAACCGTAAATCGAGCATGGAGATGCTGGATTTAACTCCCGTTTCGAAACGCGGGAGTCTGTTGGCGAGATACTCTGGCCGGTTCGAGTTCAAGTCGATGGATGATGGTGGGGAGATTAAGGGGATTCCTAAGGAGGCGGAGGTAGGTAGGGAAGGGCATATATTTCAGTATTCTTCTTGATTTTGGTGTTTTGTTTTGGATTGGGGTGGAGTTTTGGGTTGGGTTGGGTTGAATTAATATTGTTTGGTTAGCGTAGGAGCTGTATTATTATCCATCTGTTTATTGTTGATGTATATTCATAGCATATAAGTCATCTGCAGCAATTGATAACTATTGCAAGAGTAGATAGACTGGATGTCATACGGAGTAAATGCTTGGCACCGCGGAGGTGCGGTAAAAATGCCAACCACGACCGCCTACCCACCGCCTACCAACCCCGGCAAACCACCCCAACCCAACACCTAACTTAACTAACAGTAATAATAACTTTTTTGGCTCCGAAGCTCCCCTGCCTCTACTTCCCTCGGCCATTCCAATCTCTCTACGACCACGACCCCCGACCACGGCCACGCCTCCCAAGTACCCATCACCCGCTTGGTTGGTGTGTCACTCCGATCACACATGTTATCTCGTGGTCGACCGTGTCTGAAAAGACGTAGTCTATCTACCGTCTTAGACACCGTTGCGGCTAGTCCCGAAGAACCTCTCCTATTCTTGTACCCTCGCTGGGTGGGTTCGGCTGTACGACAACACCGGAGACTTGTTTCCTCGTCAGGCCCTTCGCCATGTGGAAATGGGAATGTATATAACGCTGCTGCTCGGAGGAGGACGGTAGCGAAGCCGCCACCGGCGGGACGGAAGCTCTCGTTTGGGAGCTCGTCGAAACGGTGGGTTTCTACGACAGCGGCGGAGGCTGCTGTCAAGACGGAAGTGAAGGAGGATGTTGTTCCGCCTGAGCAGGGGAAGTCGGCGGCTACTCCGCAGAAAGGGAAACGTGGTGAAGGGAATGCCGATACCGGACCACCAGCATCCATCTATAATCAACTAGACAATGACCCGGAAACCGAGGTGAAGAGCGAGCGACACGTCTTCAATATCTTCTCCGATTTACAGACGCGACCTGTGCAGCCGACGACGGGCCGGAAGGGTATGAGATCGTCTGCTGGCGAGACGCCCGCTATTGCGCTGAAGCGACTATCGCACCGCGACCGACGGAAGTTGAGATATCGGCTGTTTTTGACGAAGCAGAGTCAGGGTCGTGATAAGGCGAAGAATAATCAGTGGAATAAGTGGACGAAGGTCCGGGAGATGTTGGAGGAGATGCATGAGGATACGCATGTCTGGGCGAAGAAGGGCGTCAAGCAGAAGGAATTGCTCGTGCCGGAGGAGACGATCGCGCTGTTGGCCGGCGTCACGGACATGGCGTTGAAGGAGAATGTTTGGTATGTACCGGTGCATAATGGGTGCAAGGTGCATGTGCTGCGTCCGTTGCAGAGCCAGGGTCGGTTTCGAAGAGTGATTCTGTCTGGCTCGGAGCGGGTGGTTGAGTTGGTCAGCGATAGGATTGCGCAGGCGAGGAGACTGCAGGAGCAGAGTGATCCTCTGGTGGATATCCAAATCCCGCTTTTCCCGATCATCCCGTCTATTGAAGCGCTGAAGCGTCAGGGTGCGCCCGTGCCGTTAGTTCGAGGTGTATGGGATATACAGTCGGCTGTCAAGCAGGCCGCGAAGTTGCATATGGTTCTACCTGCTGGGAAGAATTTGTCTGGGATTAGGGACTTCGCGGAACATGTGGAGGAATTGACGAGGTCGAAACCTTCGTATAACTCGAAGATTCCCTATTCGCACCAGAAGCAAGTGGCGCGGGCCCTTGTGCAGCTGTTCCGGAATGAGGCATATTCCAGCTTTATGTCGACGGCGGCGCTGAATCGAGCGCTGTCATATCTGCTCGACCATGAGTTTCTGAACGCCGCCCGCGACATCTTCCTCAAGTCCGAACACCTTGCGACGGTGGATACCTTTAATATCCTCCTGAAGTCTGCGGCGCTGAGGCAAGACCTCCGCTTCTTCCGTCAGTTCTTGCTTGCCATGTCTCGACTGAGCATTCGGCCTGACCCCAACACATGGCTCACCCTGCTGGATTGCCTGGTTGCTCCCAAGGCGAAAGCAGATCTCGTCACGTATATGCTGCAGCGCGGGTACCTGGAGAACATGGGTGCGATGCGGACGGCGCTACACCTGACCCTGCCCAACACGTTCCGAGCACACTTAGAAAGTGGCAAGAGCGTGGATTCATTCATCAGGCAGACCGCCGACTCCTGCGGAGATAGCTGTTTCGCTCCATCTTTGATCAGCCAGATGTTCGGTGTCATCGTCCGGCTGAAAGACTTTGCTGCCCTGGACCGGTTATTCGACATCTGCAAGCAGAACGACCTAACCTTCAACAGTGCTACCATCACCCAAATTCTGTCTCTGTTCCGAGCAGACATGCCCACCGCTCTGCGGTATCTCTTCCGATGCCTTGAGCGCCCGGAAACGAAGCTCGAACGGCACGCATGGGAGCGACTCTTCCTGGTCGCTTTCAAAGGCCAATACTACAACATCTGCCGGGTCCTCTGGAGGTACGCGTGCATGTCCGGGAACGTAACATACAAGATGAAGCGCACGGTTGTGACTTCCTTGATTCGCAATGTGCCCCGAAAGCCCGAGACCAATGTCCACACGATCTGGGATGTGAGTGCGGGTAAAGTCATCGTAGGACTGGATCTGCACCGTCCCGACCATAAGCTCCAGACCACCGTGCTCGACAAACTACCCCGGGAGTATCGCACCAACCCCATCGCCTATTTGAGTTCAGGCTACAAGCCCAGCGGCGAAGAGCGGGA